TCAGCGTCATAGTCCTGCTTCTTCTCTGAACTGGAGCCAGGCTCTGAAGCACCCACTGCCTCTGCCCTGACTTTGTTGTCCAGATCGACTTCACTCCTTCCAGGCAACTCCAAGTCTGAGGGAGGTAGATCATCCTCCTCGTAGTTGGCGTGTTGCCATCCCCAGCTTGAACAGCTGACGTTGCTGACCGAATCTTCCGGCCTCATGGCCCTAGAAGCGGCTAGAGCCTGCTGACGAGCAAAGGGATTCTGCGCCATGGAGCGAGTCTATCTGAACCTAGTGATCACCCAGGCCCTCAAAACTCAAAGGAAAAATCTTGAGGCTCTGGTGATCACTCCAGTTCTCGCCAAAATGGCAGCGTTGTGCATTCGTGATCACGAGACTCAACTTGAAAGTAAAGAAAAGCTGAACAGCACCTAAGAGTACCACCTGTATCCCAAACCAACCTAACCGAAGATACCGGCACAACCAAAGTCGAACAAACACGTTTGCTACTGTCAGAATGCTCAATGACAGCGTTCAAAAGTCAATGGTTGTACTAATTTGGAATATGTAACATGTCAGAAAAAGCTCTGAAGGCCTGTTGCACCATTTTTGGGCGCAGATCTTCCAATAGCGTCGATGCGACCGATGTTGAGGACCTTCCCATCGACCGGTGTTTCCCGTCGTCGCAGCGACCCAACGGAGTTCAGCATGCGACGACGGGTTCATCGTTCTCCTTGAGACTCATCCGCTTCTTCAACTTCGGGTTGTGCTGATCCTGGGCAGATCAAGGAGTCAAACTTCCAAAGCCTCCTCCACAGAACGAGTCAAAGGATTCGAAAGGGATACCAAGTCGGATACTAAGGAAATGTGGATAAAGCGAGCGAATTAGCATGGGAGCGTGCTATAAGGCTTGATACGTAACCATGTTCGTGGTAACCGGCTAGCTTTGTCTATCCCCTGAGTCGGAGCCACTTGGAAATCCGAGACGAAGATCAAGAAATGTCCACTGAGCTACAGACTGAGTTCAACAGGATCACACCTTGCTGGCAGCACGCAGAGTACAAGGTTGGAGGGACAGCCACTCAGCTGTCACAATGGAGTCCCTTTGGCGTTTGGGCATTGACAAGTGTTGTTTGACCACTGACATATTGACCAAGGATTCCAAAATGCCTGACTCCTCTTCCAAATTCAATATGTGTCTGACAGTTCCATCGATCCATGATCCCATGACTCACCAGCAGTCCTCGCTGCTACTTGAACTTGCCATGAAGTCAAGGGGCTGAAGGCGAAGGTGTAGGCGGCATCCGGATGCTTCAGGTATCCAGCACCCTGGGCGTTCCACACGAAGGCACGCTCCCAGCGCCAGTGGACGACGATTTTTTTGGCGATGGTGGTTTGGGCTGGTGAAGCCCTAGTCAAAATGGATGTTGAGAAAATCTAGACCCTTCACAGTGCCTTCACATGCGACTTGACATCCACATCATGACTTGTGGCTTTGAGGTGAAGCAGCTTCAAATCAGGCTCCCTTGGTGAATCTCACAAGTTGTAAACACCCGGAGCTTGTTAGATCCTACCCGCTGAGCTTCGCGACCTCCTTCCCTGAGCTTCGGCAGTGTTCCACGTGCTTGTGATAGTAGGCGTGCGCCTGGGTGGTTCAAAAAGCACAAAGGATGGGCGAAGATTCAAATCCAATCGAGATCCAGTGATTTTGTTTGGCTGGAAGGTTGGTCAGCTTTCTTTAGTGGAGCGCCAATCGTGAAAGAGGCAGCAATTGAGGGCAAACAATGATGGCAGCTGTGCACAAGAGGATCAGCAATGATCAGCAAGCAGAGATCAAAGAGATGATGATGAAACAGTGCCAGGAGTTCCAAGTGAGGTCATGATGAAACATGACGAAACATGATGAATCCGGCCAACACAAGCGACCGTAAGTGACCTACTGTCTTGTTCAAGAGTTACTCCTGAGTTACTCCTCGAGCTCTCACAAACGAGGGAGCCCTCTGTGCCGCCAGGCAAAGGTCCTTAGGATCCGGTCGATCTGCTGAGCCTCCTTGGGGAGCAAGAAGGCCTGCTTTGGCCCCGAGTGCATCAAGCTTTCAGGTGTTTTCATACAAACAAAATAAGTTCAATAAATAGAGTCTCAGAGAAGTTCAATGAATCATAACAAATATTGGTCTTCATCCTGCTCCTCCATGTTCATCCTCTCTCCCACTCGCTGAAGGAGACCCAGTGTTCCGACATAATTATGCTGTATGCAAAGTGACCCTTCTTGAGATTGGCATTAGAATGCCAGTCCCCACCTCTCACGCAATATCGCAGTAAGTTAAGCTCACATCCTCGTGGCTTTTGGAAAATTCACATTTGCTTGGCATGGTCCCGATCTGACATATCAAATGTTTTGCAAGTTACTTCTGCCAGGATATCTGAAGCTGTCATGACATGCTGCAGGTTCAATGGACATTTTTGGGATAGTGCGGACAAGGCCAGTCTTCCATTTTGGGGGGGGGGCCTCTGAGGTACAGCTCACACCCTCTTTGGTAATCTATCTATATGCCAAAGCCCTATTAAAGGCTTTCTGAGAAAATCCCAACGCAAGTCTCGGTCACACCGCGCTGTTAGATTTCGATGCTGCTTTCAGCAGTGCAAAGACTTCGCAATTGCCGAGGATGTCAATACCAGGCTGATCCCGGCAAGCCAAGTGGAGCCGAACTGGGTTGAATGCCCAGTCTACATAACTCAGAGCATAGCCGCATAGTCCGTAACGTCGGGAGGATCTGGTCCTTTGAGCAAATGGGTTCCTCTGACAGGAGTCGTCCGATAAATCGCCCTCACGCTGAGCGGGATCTGATCGTGACAAAACCCTTCGTGCCATCATGAAAAAAAA